ATTGCATCTTTTATCCCAGTAAATGGCTATCGTTCTTCCTAACATGTTCTTTTCACTAATGAAAGGGGTTTGCAACGACGTTGGTGTATAAATGAAGACAGAATTTTCTTTTTTGCGTGAATTACCATTTTTAGTCTCTTTTAACCCCGCAAGTCTCTTTTAACCCCGCCTCTTTGGCGTTGATTGGACAACGTAGGTTGTTTTCGCAACGCGATTGGCTACTGGGCTCGTCAGTCATATTTACAGCCTGTTATTTACCACAAGAGGGCTAGGAAAGAGTGGGTATTCTGTTCGGGAGCTTCAGCAGCTGATATGAACGGGTAACGTAACCAAATGCCTCAAGGAACAACGGGAGCTAAAACAGATACAAGATAGTCGCTCTAATTTTTTATTTAGAAGCAGAAAAGCGCAATATGAGGCACGCATCGGCATCTAATGAAACTATGGAAAGCTCCTCTCTCACCATGACAGACTTGTTCAAAATTTGCACACAGTGCGAGCGGCTTAGTAAAAAGGTAAGAAAGCGAATAAGAGCTTGACATCGAGTTTATCTAATGACAGATGTGCCTTTAGTTAACCTGTTTTGTTAGTCTACTTTTTTCATTGATTTTAAATATTGTCCGTTTATTGAGTCCGTTTGCTGCAGTGCAGTCCGTTCTTTGTACTTGCATCATGAACACTGCTGGCTTGTTTTTCTCAGTCTTCTGTCATCGGATCAATAGACGCTCGTCTTTTATCAATGACTGACAGTATTAAAGTCAGTGTCACATTGTCTAAATGCTGTTTTTTATTCAAGCAACGCACTAAAATCATATATGCAAGATTGCCATTGTGTGGAACTGATGTATGTTGCTGCAAGGGGACAGACTGAATTGCTCACGGCGTCAAGTTTAATAGCATTCAATAATGTATTTTTAAAGGATTGCTTGCATATTCCTGTCTGAGTCAGCTATTTTGGCATGATTATGTCACTGGTATATTGCTAACTCAGACAACCTTTTTGTTCATAGTGAATCTAGGTTGTTTTGAATCATTCTCTTTGTGCCTTTGACAGCTTCTATAGTATCAATAACAGATGAATGATGTTCAAGGTCTGACTGTTGTTACTGATTGCATTATGTATTGTGTTATGTATTATGAAGAATTTATTTTCTAGCCCATGCCAGAGAAAATTCTATAACCAGCCATTGATATTTGAGCTGAGGAAGGATGTTGTTTTTAAGAGCTCTCAGTCTGATGCCAGGATTTCTTCGATTTAATAATCGCAGTTTCGTGCCAAGTGCTTCTCTCGGGTTTTGACATGTATTGGTTTTGATCTTTTTAGGACGTTGGAGTGCGAATCCCCAGACCGGTGGGAAATGGACCAAGTAGATTCATACCAGAGAAAGAGGTTAGTGTTAACATAAACCCTGCTGGATTTAAAGTTGGCATGAATCTTACTCCAACCATTTTAATCAACAAATTGAACCCACCCCCCACACACTTTTTTTGGCATTAAAAGCGTTTCTCATCACATTCTCTAGTGAAACTATTTTAACAGTACTGAATTCCCCAGGTTTACATCATCTTTATTCCCCTGTTGTCCCAGATACTTCAAGTCAGTAAATTGGATGAAAGAATACAGTCGATTTTTGAGGACGCCTTTGCAGTGCTCGGTCGCCTTGACAACATCTCCTTGGTGATGGGGTTCCATCCTCAGTATCTGGAGAGCTTTCTTAAGACACAGCATTACCTGCTTCAGATGGACGGTCCATTGTCTTTGCACTGCAGACATTACATAGGGATAATGGTGAGACTGCAGACTGTATTTTTGTATTCAACTCAAAAATCACATTGATAGATTTTTCTAAATGCACATTTGACTTCAACAGGCTGCTGCCAGGCACCAGTGCACGTATCTGGTCAACCTGCACGTGAATGACTTCCTGCAGGTCGGAGGTGATCCCAAGTGGTTGAATGGTCTGGAAGAAGCCCCACAGAAGCTGCAGGCTCTTGGGGAGCTCAATAAGATCCTGGCCCATCGCCCCTGGCTGCTCACCAAAGAACACATTGAGGTATGACTTCAACCTCACAGTCACACATGGATACTCGCCTACAGCTGTTACGCAACTCTAACAAGCACAAAGAAGTTTTATAATGCTGTTAGAGACAACTATTAGGTATTAGGTCAGTCAGGTTTCAGTAGATATGAATTTTATTAGTTGTAATGGAATTATAATAATATGTGTCTTTTACATGGCACTGTTTTTTTTGTGTGGCAAATCTGCGCATTTATTTAACATACAGTACATACAGTGATTTGAATGATCCTATTCTCTGATAAGCATAAATTGAATTAAAAGTATGTTAATTTATTAAAATCATGTTGATTAAATTCCATAAATTAAAAGCATGTTAATTTCTGAATAAATATTTGTTTGGATATTATTTGGGGTGCCTAATATGAAAAATGTCAGGTAGAAACAATATCATAATATCATTTTTTTTTTTAAAGTCTAATTAAAGATTGAAATTCTTGAAAAGAAAGTTGTATTTAATAGTTTTATGTAATATTCCTTTGGGGGAAAAAATGCTTCACAGCTTAATATTTTAATATTTGTCAAATGTATAAGCATAAATTGAATTAAAAGTATGTTAATTTATTAAAATCATGTTGATTAAATTCCATAAATTAAAAGCATGTTAATTTCTGAATAAATATTTGTTTGGATATTATTTGGGGTGCCTAATATGAAAAATGTCAGGTAGAAACAATATCATAATATCTTTTTTTTTTAAAAGTCTAATTAAAGATTGAAATTCTTGAAAAGAAAGTTGTATTTAATAGTTTTATGTAATATACCTTTGGGGGGAAAAATGCTTCACAGCTTAATATTTTAATATTTGTCAAATGTTATAATGTGTGATTCCCCCTAAAATTGGGATATTTATGAATGAATAATTTCCTTTTCTTTGTTGTGGACACTATTACATTTCATTGAACCTTATACTTTTATTTTTAACAGCGTCTACTGAAGGCAGAGGAGCACAGCTGGTCGCTGGCCGAGCTGATCCATGTTGTGGTGCTACTCACACTCTATCACTCTCTGGCCTCCTTTACGTTTGGTTGCGGCATCAACCCTGACATCCACACAGATGGAGGACATACGTTCAGGCCGCCCTCGCTCAGCGGTTACTGCGTTTGTGACATTGCCAATGGCAACGGTGCCCTAGAGGAGATGTTTGGGAACCAGCAGGTGAGACAAAGGGAAATGTATTCAAAGAAGATTTTCTAATATTTGCTAGTCTTCCATCCAGTCGTCCTGAAAAGGGATCTGTAGAATGCATGGAGTGCAAGGTTCAAATTCCTGACCATAGAGTGTACATAAACTTATGATGACCTAGATTCCTGTATGCATGTGTTTAGGTGTCTGAGTTGTCTGGTGAGGTGGAAGTGCTGATGGAGAAGATGAAGCAGCTCCAGGAATGTCATGACGAAGAGGAAGCCAGTCAGGAGGAAATGGCCACTCGTTTTGAGAGGGAGAAGACCGAGAGCATGCTGGTAGTCACCTCAGGTAAGTGGATTTTTTTTTTTTTTTTAGGTTTGTTTCATACAACAATTCCAGGATGACTTTTGTTAAAACAACATGTTTGATCAACAGAGGACGAGGAATGTATACCATCCAGAGATGTTTCACGACACTTCGAAGACCCTAGTTATGGCTACAAGGACTTTTACAGAAGAGGAGAACATGTACCCACCCTCAGAGTGCAGGTGAGAAGAAAGTCACATTGTCTTGCTTGTTGCCATTGGTAGTCGAAAGAAAATGGAAGACTAAAATAACAAAAATCTGATATTTTCTGCCCTTGACAGGACTATAGTTGGGAAGATCATGGCTTTTCCCTTGTGAATCGGCTGTATCCGGATTTTGGACAGCTTCTGGATGAAAAGTTCCAGATCGCATACAATCTGACGTACAACACAATGGCGACACACCAGGGTGTGGACACTTCCATGCTTCGTCGAGCCATCTGGAACTACATCCACTGCATGTTCGGGATTCGGTAAGTCCGCTTTTTATTTTAATTTGCTTAGATATTATTTAGATATTAGTTGTATTTAGTTATTTAAATCATATTGCTGAGGTATCTTTCTTTCTCTGTCTAATACACGACAGGTACGATGATTATGATTATGGAGAAATTAACCAACTGCTAGACCGCAGTTTTAAAGTCTACATCAAAACTATGGTGCGCACTCCAGAGAAGATCACCAAGAGGATGTACGACAGCTTCTGGAGGCAGTTCCAGCACTCTGAGAAAGTAAGAAGCACTTCAGACCAAAAAAATGAACAGACAACAGGTTCTTTCTGAAGGTTAAATCATCTCGGTACAAGTTAATAATGATTCTTTTATTTTGTCTTTCAGGTCCACGTTAATTTGCTTCTTATGGAAGCGCACATGCAGGCAGAACTGCTCTACGCTCTGAGAGCTATCACTCGCTACATGACATGAAGTGCTGTTCTTGTCTACCTTTTTAATTTTTTTTACTGTTGTTGACGTTGGACACTTAAATAAACGTAAAAATGACAAAAAATGGAAAAAATAAAACTGAGGAAGAAGAAGAACGGGCGGCGGCGGAGGGCGATGACAAGGTTGTTTTGTTAAAAGAAGGAAAAAAACAACAACTGTCAACTGAACCTACTTGCTGAATCACTTGTGTGGCTGCTCAGCCTGCGGTGGCAAAACTGGCCACTGGGGGGGAGTGGGGCCGTCTGAGCAGAATCCCTCTAGTGTGATTAAGAGGACAAGCTAAGACTGCGGAGCTTCTGGAGGCCAGACCTCCTTTAGTATTTCAAATGCATCTGCGATAAGATGCCATATAATCATATCTTCTTTTTGTGAGATGAGATTTAAAAAACACACACAAATGGCAACTCTAGTGCCAGTGCAGAAAGACTGCACTAACATGACTATCTATCTACTAGTGTTTTTTTTCCATATTGTTTTTATTTTTTGTTCAGCAGTGGCTAGAGATAGAAGCATTACTGATTTTGCATAAACGCGTGCCTAGTCATGCGCAGCACTGGCAACAGATGCTGAGGTGCCGTCTGTTCATGCTGCTTTTCTCAATTGAGAGGCCTCAAGACACCCAAACCATCACCCATTTATATAAGCTAATCCAGGAACGATTGTGTTAGTGTGAGTGTGAGAGCGCAATTCAAAAGTAATAGCTGTCTGAGCCCTTGTTAGAGTTTACTGTAAGACACCACTTTGTTTCATTGTGACATTTCCAATGTGTGAATGCTATGGGGGGAATAGAGAAAAAAAATCCAAACATAGGCTCTTTTTGGGGTTTCACGCATTAAAAATATCAAAGCACTTTTTTTAAACAATGTTAAGCTTCAGCTTTTATGTAGCCATTTTTTTTCGATGACCGTTTTCTATCTTTTTTTATTTGTGTTAGTGACTTTCAACGCGGAAAGGTCTTCCTTTTGTGATGTGCTTCCTGTTGCTCTGATCCATCCGCCTTATCTGTCTTCCTTTGAATGCACGGCCATTATTTTGGGGTTTATTATAACTAAATACCTCCTGTTATGTATCCTTAAATATCTAAGTGCTGTCTAGTGAGCAGAACTTTGTCTTACGTGGCTGCCTGTCATGCGCTACAATCTGTACAGAGCTAGACGCTGAATCAGGCGACCCGCACGCTTGTGGGGTTAAACCATGCTTGTTCTCATTATCAGAACTTTAACCAGTGTAACTAAACAGTTTTGTTTCGAGTGTGTGTGTGTGTGCGCATGTGTTTCTTTTCAAGCGGAGTGGATTCTCCGCTGTCTTTTTTTGTTTACTAAACCAGTTAAGTACTGCATTCTGATGATGGCAGGACTAGAGGGATGGTACTTTTTCTTTTGGAGATGGATATGAGGAGGTTTTAAGTCAGACTTGAGAGACTGATGTCAGTTACTGACAATTTTCTAAGAAATAATTTGTTAAAAAAAATAAAACACGGTATTTCACTGGTTGTATCATTTGTAATTTAATCAAACTTTCTGTTTTCTTCCCAAAAAGTCACATTAGGATGATGCATTACACCAAACATTCAGTATTAAATAAGATTTGAACAGTCCAAACACCTTATACCACGAGAACTGACGGTTATTTTTGTGCTAATTAACAATAACACACTTTAAGACTTAATTTATATAGCTTTTAGGTCACATAATCAATGTTTTTATGTCCATGAACTTCCACCCACCAGCAGAAATCCTTGTAGCAAAGTGATATATCAGCACAGACACTACAGGCCTATAGAAAAGCATCCCCTGCTGTGCACTAATGATTTAAACACAATGTTGAACGCGGCAATTCGTCCTCTCACAGTGAGGATTAAAGAAAGCAACATTGTTGACGTGGGAACCATAAGGAAATTTTCCCTGTTTGTGGTTATGAGGCTGGTGGTCATTTAGTGCCAGTAAATGGCCATTAAATGGAAATCACCATAGGCTAGTTGATGCTCATTTTAAAAGAATAATGCGAGAAGTTGGGTTCCCCTCTTAATAAAATATCTGAAAAAATCCCTTGGATGTTGTGCAGGAGTTAAACCGCTTCAGACTTCACATGATGGAGGCTGAGAGGAAAACGTTAAATCGCAGTAAAGAGTGATTTGAATAAACTTCACAATCCCATTTTAGTCATTGGTTTTAAGCATGTATTTAAATGACCTCTAGGGCAGCTTTGTAAACTTCATATTAATGTATAGACTAGCTGTGAAGTGTAACCTGTTAAAAGGAGGGAAGCCAGTGCCATAATATATCAGTTTGATGTGATTGTATTAAGGAAGTATGACAATGTTTCTATTCTGTGTTCCTTACAGACTTTTCTGGAAGTGTCTGTTAAATAAAATCTTTGAGATCACGGAGATGCTCTTGAGTGATTTTTGCATATACGTTAGTTTGGTGTTTATGAACATAGGCTTGCCTTCTGTCCGACACAATTCATGCTTTCTCCTATACAGCAGCATAAGGTTGTGTAATAAACATTTGAACTATTTAATTTTAAAAATGTGTTGGTCATAATTGACAAATTCCCTATGTTCACAATATCAAAAGTGACATTGTATTAAAGTGCAATATACACACCGGCTCATTCCTCAGATTGTAGGTGTACATACAGTACATGCATATATACACACAGACAAGCATGTGACATCTGGAGAGGAGTGTGTCAGTGGAGCTTACGGAATGATGCCAGTAGTGTCTTCAATATAAAAACGCTGTCTAAGGCTCTCAGCTACAGGCAAAAAGAGCAGCTCCCAGCATGCTTCCTGAACCTGTCTGACTCCATCATCAGAAGACCACTGCAAAGCTCCTTTGTCTGTCCAAAACACAGGACAAAATGTCTACATTAAGTTCATACAAAAATTTTAAACATTTAACCAAAAGTGATTTCTTCATGTCATATTTGTACATGCCAAACTTACTGTCAACTGAATTCATATAATTTAAATAAATAATAATTAATAATGTATTATAATGTATACA